CCCTCCAATCTTACTGTCGGTCATTTATGCTGCTAATCAGCCGGAAGATAGAAAGATTCTCTGGGACAATCTGCTTCATATTTCTCAAAACATACATCTTCCCTGGGCTGTCATGGGAGATTTCAATTGTCACAGATTTGACTATGAGAAGGCTGGGGGTTCCCCTTTACCTCTGGGACGTTTGGGGGAGCTTAATAATTTTATTTCTAATTGTGGGCTTCAGGACCTCTCCTCTGTTGGTCTTCTTTATACCTGGTTTAATCAAAGGATTGACTTGCCCATCCACATTAAGCTCGACAGAATTTTGGTGAATTCAGACTTTCTGGACTTCTTTCCTATGGCTCATTACAAGGTGGATTCTCCTTTCGGTTCTAACCATTCTCCGATTATTTTGTTGGCTAATTCAGTTAATAGAACCTTTTCTAGGTTCTTGTTCAAGAAATTTTGGCTCAATTTAGATGGTTTTTGGGAAGTTCTGCTCAATGTTTTTAACAGTCCTAACTTGGCTAGCCCTATCTCTGCTTTTTACAATTGTTTGAAAGCTCTGAAATTTAAGATTAAAGGCATGAACTGGTCTTCTTCCACCTTTTTGTCTAATGCTATTTTAGAAGCTAAAATTCATCAGATGCAATGCCTGAATGCCTTACAATCTGCTCCTCTGGACCAAGGCTTTAATACCAACCTTAAATTGGCTAATGATAGACTTAATCATTTACAAATGGAATGGTCCTCCTGGATTGCCCAAAGAGCTAAATCTTATTGGCTTGCTCAAGGGGAAGACGACTTGGGTTTTCTCTATGCTAAAATTAGATCTAGAGCCAATAGGAATCTTATCAAAGAAATCTCCTCTAGCCGGGGTATTATTACTGGTCATCACAACATTGCGGGGGAGCTTATTGAGCATTTCAAAATTCTTTTCAATGGCACTGATAATTTTGGGAATCATTCGTCGTCTAGTCCTGTTGGTAATACGGTTCCCTCTTCTTTTTGTAACTCCCTTGTTGAGCCTTTTTCGGATAATGACATTAAAGCAGTGGTGTTTGCTGGTAAACCTGATTCGGCTCCTGGCCCGGACGGTTTTCCCTTCAGTTTCTATCAACGTGCTTGGCACATTATTGGGTATAAAGTTTGTACTGCTGTTAGACATTTTTTTGCTACTGGGGTTATGCCCAAAGGGGCAAAGGCCACGGCTATTACACTTATCCCGAAAGGATCTCATGCTTCTAGTATTTCTGACTTCAGGCCGATCTCTCTATGTAATATTTTTTATAAAATTGTGGCTAAACTTATTGCTAATAGGCTCAAGCCTATTTTACCTCTTATTATTCATATTAGCCAAGCGGGTTTCATTGCTGATAGGCAGTCCATGGATAACATTATTTTGGCTAATGAGTTACTCAAAGTTTTTAGAGGTTCTCAGAAGTTGTTTTGTGCAAAACTTGATATTAAAAAGGCTTTTGATTCGGTCTCAAGGAATTTTCTGCTTGATAGATTGAAATTTAAAGGCTTTCCGGACAAATTCATCAAAGGTTGCATCTGCAATGTTCATTTCTCTATCTGCCTCAATGGTTCCCTTGAAGGTTTCTTTAGCTCCTCGTCTGGCCTCCGGCAAGGGTGCCCTCTTTCACCCTTACTTTTTTGCATTGCTATGGATGGTCTGTCTCAACGCCTACAGCATTCTTCTTTTATCGGGCTGAACCAAGGGTCCTTCTCTATTAATCACCTCATGTATGCTGATGACCTCTTGGTCTTTGGAGTGGCCTCTCATGATAATCTGACTTATCTTAAGAATTCTTTGCAGAGTTATTCTGAAGAATCTGGACTTTTTATTAACCCCATTAAGAGCCATATTCTCTTCTCTAAGTCTGTGGGAAATGTTGATCTCCTTGCATCTATTTTGGGGATCTCCTCCATTGAGAATTCCCTCACCTACTTGGGGCTCCCGATCACCTACAAAAGACTTTCTTTTGCTCACTTCCAACCCCTTCTGAGCAGGCTTTCTGCTCTACTTGAGGGTTGGAAAGTTCATTTTCTTTCTTTTGCAGGTAGGGTTCAATTTATTAAATTCACTATTTCAAATACGATCGCCTACTGGATTAGGGGTGCCATTATACCCAAAGCGTGCCGTAAGGTTATCTCCAAGTTATGCTCTAAATTCCTCTTTTTTGGTAATTTCAATGACAAGAAAATGCATTTCATTTCTTGGAAGGCTGTCACTAAACCTAAGGATAAAGGTGGTTTAGGTATTCATTCTTTTGACTCGATGTATTATGGGGTTTGTTGTTCCTTCATTTGGCGCATGTATAATACCCAATCTCTTTTGGGTAGCTGGTTTAAATCTAGATTTCTTTCTCCTTGGAAATCTCCCCCCATGGCTGCTACTAAATTTTGGAAGTTGGTGTGTAATACTGCTATTCAAAACAAGGATCTTTTTTGTTTCAAGGTGGCGGATGACTGCAATTTCTCTTTGCTTTGGGATCCTTGGTTTTGTGGTGATTCTTTGGGTAATCATTTCTATGATGCTGCATTGGTTGGTTGTAAGGTTATGGAGTTCATTTCTAATGGGGCTTGGATTTTACCTGATGGTTGGCCTTTAGATATCAAGCAGAATATTCTTTCCATTTCGGTGGAGGAGGTTTATGGTGTGGACTGGGCTGGTTTTTCTAAACCTTCTTTTAAAAATTTTACCTCGCAATTCTATGATAATCTGGATGATGTTAGCTGGTTTAAATTCATATGGCATAAAAAAAATGCTTTGAGGTATGCTTGTTACGCTTGGATGGCTATCAATGGCAAGCTTAAATATGCTGACAAGCTTATTGTTAGGGGAATTCTGGCCTCTCCTATTTGTGATTTTTGCAGGGGGCATAATGAGTCTCACTCTCATCTTTTCTTCAGCTGTGATTTTACCTTCTCTGTTATCTCCTCTTTGCTGCCTGCTCTCAACTGCTTCTATTTTAGGCCTAATCTCTATCAGACTTTTGATTTCTTTAACTGCAATGCCAACTTCAATGCTTTGGAAAAAAATTGTTGTTTTTTGGCTATATCTGTGGCGGTTTATTACTTATGGAGGGAACGAAATGTTAGGAGGTTCTCTAACTCCTGGAATTCTCCGGATTATCTTAAGACTGTTATCTCCTCTGCCATTCATGCTAAAATTGGTAAATGGAAAGCTTATGATAAGTTGGTGGATCGTTTTAAGGATTTTCTAGTGTAAATCCTTTTCTTGGCTGTTCTTGGATGGTCGGGTTTCCTCTGGTCCTTATGAATTCTGGAATTGCTGGACTTCCTGCATCTTCGGTGCTGATGTTGCTGGCTTTGTTGGTTCGTTCCAGTTTAGCCAATCTATTTCGGTCCCGATGTTCAAGCCTTTCCTGGACAATGATGAAGCTCCCGGATCCCTTGGATGGTCTACGGGCAACCAGGGATCAATGTATTCGTTTTGCCTCTCTATTTATTCTCTGAGTCCAGGATATGTTAGGCTTGGGAGCTCTTTTGGTGGAGTCGACTCCTCTTGCTTCACTTTCAGCTTGGTGACTTGCTTTTCAATGCTGTACCTTTTCTTCCTTTTTCAGCAGTCTTTGCTGATAGTTTTGTATTTCTTTTATGTTGTTATGCAGCAATTAAGCTGATAGGTTTTTGGTTGACGGTTACTTTTTTGTTGTTGTAACAGTCAACTTCTTTATTGTAATCTTTTTGGTTTAATGCTATGGGCTTTGACCCCTAATTCTCCCAAAAAAAAAAGCTGAATAACAGAAAAAGCATCACTAAAGGTGCGGTAACCATGTGGAATATTATAAGCAAAGGGAATCCACATCAATGCCTAATTCCATCACGCATGTCCCTTAATGGAGAAAATTTATGGACACCACGTTGAAAACAAATGAAAAACAATAAAAAACTAAAGGGTTTCTATTCAATTTTTTCTGGGCCATAACCCTGCATCACGCCATAGGCTATGAATGGAAAAAAAAAATTCAGCTTTCTAAGAAAGGACGGCTGCTACAATTGATCATTTACACAACTCTCTTTGGCAACTCTCTTTGGCCTATTGATTGAGAGCTTAGGCTTCCAACTAAAAAGTTTAAAGTTCGAGTCTATTTGTATGTGTTATGTGTGTGAGTTTGCCTTAAATGACCTAAATATCCAAAAAAAAAGAAAAAACAATTGATCATTTTTTTTTACGAGGAAGTATTGTATTTAGGTTATTGAAAATTCCGGTCGACCTAGCATGCAACCCACACCAATTTACATGTGCTAACACTTAAGGCTTTCACTGTTTGCCAAAGGATTCGAAACCAGATACCTGAACTTTACCCAGCCGGCTCTTCACCACCCGGAAGCAATGGTGGGTCTACAATTGATCATGAAATACAAAGAAATATTGAAGTACTTTGGGACATATGTATGCGTTGTGTGTGTGAGTTTGACTTAAATGGCCTAAATGTTCCAAAAAAAAAGTACTTTGGGACATATGTACTTTATATTGATAGAAAAAAATATAGCTGTAAATATCCCATAGTACACTGGCAAGTGGGGGATGCGCTCCAACATAACTACAAATATCTGTTTGCAGCTATCACAAGATTTCATCATAACGCAAAAAAAGAAATGTATTTTTGCAGTTGTGACTATTCACAGAAATCCAATATTTGGTGCATATATGAACGTGAGAAAAAATCTATATGGAATATTTTTTTGGGTGTTGACACAAAGTTAGATTGGAGATAAATTTCTGTTTGATATAAAAAATGAGGAGTTTGGTTAAAGATGCTCTAATCTAAGGGAAATTATTATGTGCGGTCATTGGACGTCATCCAGAGGCAAATCAGAACGCGTCACGTCATCATTTTGTTATTTATTGGAGATGTGTACCGCTGTGTGTTATGTGTACCACTGTATATCGGGAGATGTGTACCTCCGAACGGTTCGATAACCACACGTAATAATTTATCCTAATCAAGAGTGGATGTTTTGACTTCAATCATAAAATTTAGACATTTAAGAAGTTTGCGAGAGCCTCGGCGATTTAGCAAATTTCAGAGCCTCGGAGAGACCAGTAAAGACATTATTGACGCATCACACCTTCCCATCTACTTACAATCAATGCAAACTAGAATATGATTTAAGATGATAAATGCTTATTTTCTTATATGAACCCAATCAAAAAAGCACTTAGATTCAACCATGTCGTCAAATTTGCTCTTAATCGTCCATACGGATAATGCAGCGAAGACTTTCACCTTGGTGCATGTATTCAAAAGCCTTATTGATCTCAGAGAATTGCACATCATGGGTTATGAACTTCTCCAATTCCAGTTCCTGAAACATCAAAGCACAAGTGACTTATCTTTTCTAGAACTAGTTAGCCTTGCATATCAACGTAATATATACATTCTGATGTCCCTCCCAAAGATTAGTATCTCTAAGCTTTAAAAATACCTTGTTCATGTATTTCTGAACAAGTATGGGTATATCAGAACGAGGCTTGTAGTTCCCAAACGTAGTACCCTTGAGAGCCTTTGAATTCATCATGAAATGTGCAGGGTTGACCTTTAACTCTGCATTTTTTGGGGGTAAACCAACCAAGACAGCAACACCCCAACCCTGCAAGTTTTGAATCATGGCAAAACATAAGAATTGCTTAGTTTTCCTTTATACAGAGAGAGAGAGAGAGAGAGTCTTTTGAAGCAGAAGAAGCTCACACTGCGAACACATTCGAAAGCAGAAGCCATGGCATCCACATTACCAGTGCATTCAATGCTTCTATCGACTCCTCCATCAGTCATTTCAATAAGTACCTAATGATGTTCAACATCTTAGATATCATGTAAAGCTTATGTTTTCTTTACAACAACAACATCATCATCAAGCCTTTGTCCCACTGCGTGGGGTCGGCTACATGAATCCTTTTTCCCCATTGTGTCCTGTTAAAAGTTAAATTCTCATTTAAATCTAATAAATAAAAATCATTTCTAATATTTTCTAACTAAGTCTTTTTAGATCTACCTTTACCTTTCTTAACATAAGTCAAATCTAAAACCTCAACTTTTCTAACCGGGTCATCGGAAGGCCTCCATTTATGTGACCAAACCATCTAAGACGACTCTCTCTAATCTTATCTTCCACTAGAGCTACTTCCAACTTTTTCACATATATGCTCATTTCGTATCCTCTCTAAGGGTAAAGCCACTCATGCACCTAAGCAACCTCATCCCTGCTACACTTAATTTAATATTATGATTCTCTTTTAATGGCTAACATTAGAAATTTCCCTTAATTTTGAGGGGGACTTTTCGCACAACAAGCCCGATGCATTCCTTCACTTTAACCATCCAACTTGAATTCTGCTGATAATATCGCAATCTATTTCACCATCACTCTGAACAATAAATCCAAGATATCTAAAACGTGTACTCTTATTAGCAACTTGATCGCCAAAAGTAAAAATCCCCTCACTAGGTCTATTGCTACTAAAATTACACTCAATATATTCAGTTTTAGATCTACTCAAGAGAAAACCTTTAGACTTTAAGGTTGACCTCCACAATTCAAGTTTACCTTCAATTTCCTCTCTAGTATTATCAACAAGAAGAATATCATCAGCAAAAAAAAATACACCAAGGTACATCCTCTTGCCATGGCATCCACATTATATTTTCTTTAAGCTAGATAAATCTATAATGGCTATAAGAATAATTTATTTGCAATAACAACATAGTCAGAAAAGGTGATTGTGTGGAATCTGTATTGAAACAAACCTCGTGAACAGGTTTGTCATAATCTTTTGGATTAATGAACTCGTTGACACCGAACTTCTTTGCTGGTTGAAAATGTAGATAATTTGTTAATACAGTATCGAAGCTAAAATAGAAGCTTGTTATCTGAATTTGTCTCATGAACTATGGTGAGCAATGGTCAGTTTTCTTTACCAAGATCAAACTTCTTAGAAATTAAATCAATGCCAATAATCCTTGATGCCCCGGCCATTCGAGCCCCTTCGGCTGCCTGCACATAAGAGAGGAAACTCAACATTTCATACTTTAAAAGGATGTAGAAAGTGAGACAACTAAGAAATTCAAAACAAAGAGAAAAACTCACAGCAAGGCCTATAGTTCCCAATCCAAAAATAGCCACTGTAGAACCCTTAAATGGTTTTGCAACGTTAAGGGCAGCACCAAGACCTTCAAATGAAAGAATGAACAGCACATTTGGTGAGATGATTTAATTGTTCTTCAATAGAAGATCTTGGTAGTAAAAAACAATTAATGCTTCATCACCTGTTGAAATGCCACAGCCAAGAATAAAAACCTTATCCAAGGGAGCTAAGGGATTGACCTTGGCAACACAACCAGAAGGGACAACGGTGTATTGACTAAAAGTGGAGCCTAGAAAATGGAAGATGGTCTTTCCATTGATAGAGAATCTGGACTTCCCATCACTGATCATAACTTCCCTGTTAGGGTTTACTCTTAGAAGGCTGCATAAGTTGCTTTCCTCTGATTTGCAATCAGGACACTCCCCGCACTCACCTGTGAAGATTGGAAGAACTAGATCTCCCGGTGCAAGATCTGTCACACCCTTCCCAACACTTTCTACAATCCTATGAGCATAGCACAGAACAATTTAGAGAATACAAGGTTTTGGATGTTCACATATCTTGCACATAATCAATTTAGCAACTATTTAGGCCTTCTCCAACCGAACTCATAACGCATGAAAGGCGTCGCTCGCGAGCTCCAACCGAACGGCAAAACTTCCAGTATTTAGTTGCATATGAACAGTGCGACGCCAATATTAGCGTCGCACTGTTCACCCGCGTTATTTTTTGTCTCTACCGGATTTGTTGAAGAAACGCGTGAAAGAGAGAAAGACGGTAAACTTCTACAAAGGGCACAAAATGGTGTTCGATTGGAGATGAATCACACGCCATTTTTTGGTTTCATCGCACTTTGGAGTGAAATATGGGATTTTCGGTTGGAGATGCCCTTAGGCCTGATAATAATGTCTTAAACTCAAATTTTGCTATATAATCGCTTGATTTTTAATAAACTCAAAATCAAAATATATTAAGACAACTCATTTGAAATTAGTTCAGAAATGAATCAATCAATCAAGCTTAAGATTTGGCTTTTAAATGTCAAGTGTCATGCTTATAAAACTCTCTTAACCTCCTGCATTTTTTTTTTTGCATAAATCATACCCTCCTGCTTCATGGCCAAAGATTCTCGGAAAAATCGGTAACTGATCCTGTAATTTTAGAAACAAAAAACAAATGTAATGCCAGCAAAATTTCGAAATAACATAGCAACTTACACTGAATGGAAAGTAAAAACAAGTGGATAATAATATCCAAAATTTAGATTTACCTTAGCTTCCCAGAAGTATACATCCGAGTGGCAAAGAGAAGTGTACAGTATCTTCACACGGACTTCCATGGCTTCTGGAGGTGCCACCTCTACCTCCTCAATCACCAATGGCTTCCCAGCTTCCCAAGCAACAGCAGCTAGATTCACAGCAAAAAAGTAGAGAAATACTGGAACATAAGTGACAAAATATATTAATATAGCGGAAAAAAAAAACCGATACATAAATCAAATCCTTATGTGCATACTATTCAGAACAAGTATGGGCACAAAAACCTCTACTTTACTTGCAAAAAAGAAGATTCTACTCAAAGAAGAACATGGATAGAGCCAGTTATTATCTCCCGACCATGAATAAGTGTAAATTTGAAACTGCTGTGAATAATCTCCTCTAATGAGAAGCCGATTTCCCTTCCTTGCTGTGAAGCTCTATGGTTGATTTTGGAACTATGAGCTCAGCTCATAAGTTTGCAGAATATACTGTACTGATCAGATCTTCTGCTTTGATCATTTGGCACAATTCTCTACTTGATGAGTTTTAATTTTTTGTGCTCTCGACCAGTTCGAAGAATTATTTGATAGAGATATGTTGAAGAAAAAATAGAAATAATTTCTGGAAAACCAGGGGGAAAAAAAAAACAGATATAAATCACAAATCTGGATATGCATTTCAAGAACCTTTGCATCTTATGACCTGACCGGCTGTCCCTGAAATCTTCTCCATTCTGCGTTCTTTCTGCCGAAACTAAGAAGATGGGTGTGCTATGAATGTACAGTTTGGGCTTCAAAACTATTTAATATGACAATTATTAAAATCTGATTAAATTCTAGAAAATTAATAAAAGGAAAATTTTGGACTTGTTGGGCTAAATGTAAGTAAATATAGGTGAATAATTTTTTGTTTGGTTAGAAGTAATTAATGCAGAGTAAAGTGCTAGATGGTGACAGTGGGTGGCGACAAAGTGTGGCAGTGGTGGGCGGGAGGCAGCTGGCTTGGTGCCGTTGGCGGCGATTGTGTAAATTATTTTCACTTATAATCGGAGATGTTTGATTTACATTCAAAATGACTATTTCACTTTATAACCCTATTTCTTCTTCTTCTTTTTTTTCAATTTTGATTATGTAGATTAAAGTATAATTAATAAAATTAATATTTTAACAAATTATTATAAACAACTAATTCATAAAATTTATTAAATGTAATAATATCTATTTAATCAAATTAAATAATAAATGATATCAAGCTGCTTAAAATAACATCTTTTTGTTCATTAATGATAAACATTTTAATTAATTTAAATATATTGTTAACATGTTTTATTTGATATTAGTTAATTTTAATAATATTAAAAAAATATCAATTAAGCATGAAACGCTGGTCTCTCTCTGATTCCCATCCCCCAAATAGAGAAACTCTATATGACAAATAAAAGAGAAAGTTAAGGGAAAATTGGAGAGAAACAAAACCTAAAGTTATATAGGATTTAAAGTTGTAATTTTTGATGTTTGGCAGGATTTAGATTAAATCCTGCGAACAAAAAACAAAATTTTACTTATGGACAAGCAAATTTTGATTAATTTGCCTAATAGAATTCAATATTTATGTCACAAATATGATTAATTTAAAACAAAAACTTTGATATTGCTAGATTTACTTATTACAACAAAGCTTTTCTTCGAAGGCTACTATTTTTTTTAATATTTATAAAATTCTCATGAAATTTTACAATTCCAGCAATCATTAAATTATCATCGATATAACTTTGTATGATTTTTGGCTGTATGAATCGATCTTTATGTTTTTTAAGATTAGCAGTGTCAAAATGGGTCAACGGATTACGCAGGGCTTTGTCTTAAAATTGACCAAACATGAATCCAATCAACCTAAACCAAGCCTGATAACCTATTTTAATTTTAAAAACTATAACTTTTAACAATATATTTTAAATTAATTAATAAAAAATTAAAAAAAAAAAAACATAACAATAAATAAAAATATATATATAAATAATTTAAATAGGTCATTTTTGTTCAAAAATTTAGTTGACAGGTCAACTCGAATTCAACCCGTTTAATAAACATGTTAAAAATTTGAATTTAAATCCGACCCATTTGTTAAAAGGGTCAACTCGAACCCATATTTTTCGAGTCGACTTCGAGTTGGATAAGTGAGTTGGCTAACAACCCTAATCAATATAACTACTAAGTATACCTTTAGTTAACTATTTATATTCCTCATTAATGATCATCATATGATGTTTTTCAATCAAAGATTGATATCCAATTCCCATAAATCATCAATATCTAACACCTATTGTATCGATTCGATTACCTGATCTCTTATGCTATTAGAAGAACAACTAAGGCTTCGTTTGAGACAACTTTCTTTCTGCTTCTTAAAACAGCTTTTTAGTATAATTTTTTTAAATTTTGTATTAGAAAGTTGCTTTAAGAAGCATTGAAAAAGCCGTCCCAAACAAAGCCTAAGTCAACTACCAACCATCACCCAACTTTTGATGTTCTATATCGACTTTCGTCCGATACTTTCAATAACTAATATATGAGTCTTTCGATCACCAACACCTAACACCCATCTTAAATTAGTTGAATTATTCGATTGTTTTCTCTCTTATTAGAAGAATGAACAAGATGACTATCACCTAATATGAAATATTCATCATTGACTATGCCCGACTCCTATTAATAATGGATGTCTAATGCCCATGGATCACTCATCTAAGTTTGCCATGCATCATCTCTAGGGGTGTAAGTGAGCCGAGCCGGCTCGAGCTCGACTCATTTATGGGCTCGCGCGTCGAGCTTAAAAATAAGTTAATAAATATTAAATTGATATGAAACCAAAAAATATCTAAATGTTTCATCATAGCATGTTCTTCATTACAACATTAAAAATAAGTTAGTTGTCAATAATTAATATCTTAGTCACCATCATCATTTTGGTCATCATCATCATTATCATCATCATCTTTAGCATTACCATTGGTACAACCTATTCAAGGCATTAAAAGATCAAAATAAATACATAGTCCTTATTGAATGCCACTGTCTGCTCATTTATCACCATGAGAAAAATAAGTCTACGCTCAGATCCTTCATCAATGCTATGAGGCATACCAATTTTTTTAGGGTTTGTATTTGTAAAGTTTTACTATGCAAGTCTGTAAAGTTGTTGAAGGATTATGTCTATAATGTTCTACTATCATAATTAGTGCTCATCTTAGTTAGTTAATTTGATTCATTATATGTGTATTAAAATCTTCTGCGATGAAGAAATTATTTTGTGCAGGCATCAGACGGTCCATAGGCTAAACAAAATACACCACATCACTCAGTACGCAGCACCGGTGCCGAACAAAAAAGTGATGTGTCGCATTCTGATTGGTCTCCGGACGACGTTCGGTTTCCGCACAGAATAATTTTTATCTGTGATGAGCCATACAAGTAAGTTATTTATATTATGATTTTTTCTTAAGAGAAAATAAAAAAGTTAACTTTCTTAGAAATATATATATAATAATAATACATTGAACTTAAAAATTTTGCTTCTCATGTTAATACCTTTATTTTTAACAGTATTACTCAAAAATAGGAGAGCACAATAAGATCTCAATATATGTATATTATTATTATTTTTAATTTCAATGGTTTAATAGCAACATTGCATGATAGACAAATTTAATAGTTCATTTTAAAAATATAGGTATTGGCTTTATATATATATATATATATAAGTTTCACTAATATGTGTGTAAATCATCCAGATAATTTTTAGTACATTTCATGCTATTCAATATAATTGTTAAAAATGATAATATAATTTTTCTTTAACCTACATGATTCTTAAGATTTTTTCTTTCTTTCTTAAGCTTGCGTGCTTTTTTAAGCTAGCAACTAGGGGTCAAAAAATGATCTAACCCGCCAACCCGATCAGAACCTGACCATAAAAATTCGGGTTGGGATCATATATTCAAGTTGTTGGTGGGTTAGATTTGGGTTCACATTTGGCCTGCTTATTAAACGCGTTGGGTTCGAGCTGATCATATTTGAATCGTGTCAATTTTGAGTTCGACTCAAACCCGATCCGTTAACCCATTTTGACACCCCTACTAATAACAATAACAATAATAATCCTTTATGAACTACATTGGATCTATTACATGAATTTCATTTATTCATTGCCTAATGTTAAAGAGTTAAATTCTCATTTAAATCTAATAAAAAAGTATCATTTTTATTACTCTCTAATCAAATTTTTTTAATGCTTCGTTTGGGATAGTTTTCTTACAGTTTTTATTAGCAATTTTTTTCTTTTTTTTTTTTAATTTTGAACTAAAAAATTATTTTTATAAAGCAATATACAAGCTGTCCCAACGAAAACCAAATCTACTTCAACTTTTTTTAATACGGGCCAAATCTAATAGATCTACTCTCCCTTAGCGCTTTTTTTAACTTAAAGCCCATTTATTAACTAATAATGTTTCTTACTAGAGTTTTTAAGAAAAGGCTTCCCCATTCTTTTTATTCAGGTTTTTCAGCCTGAGGTGATTATTAGATGATAAAAAGATCGAAATAAATACAATTAGCCAGATGATGGTCATCAAAAATTATTTTGATCGAGCACAAATACTAATGTAGATTTGAATTAAAAACTTTCAAAATAAAATTAAGAATCATATGAATTATGATTTTAGCAATGTTAGTCATACTAAACATCTCAACGAGATGAACCGTCGACACAAAAAAAGATTCAATACTAGTCCAAAGAGCTCAAATCAAATATTTGAAGTGTATTTAAATGCTTCCAAATATTAATTGGATGGCCAATTGATCTTTAAAATTTGCATGCTTATAATTAAATCAAGCATCTCGATGAGACAAATCCAACGGGCCCAATATCACTAGATTATAACAACATTGATGAAATTAAATGCTAAATGAATGTCGTATGATCAATGAAATCAATATGGGTCATCCGATTGAGTGTTTTGAATTTTCTCTGTATTTTATGCGGCATGTTATGTCATTCTCAAAAGTTTATAAATAAATTGTCACTCTCTACTTAGGCCTTGAGATTCAAAAAAGCTTTGAGGCTTTAAGAACTTCAGAGCTCAACATGAGCACCATCATCTGGCTATTGTTTGATTTTTGCCATCAGACCCCTACCTAGCTAACATCGTTAAACCACCGCTCAGACATCATCGACTAACCACTGTCGCATGGTTACAATCCTCTAACCACAATTGATGGATTGTTGTTCTTGAACCACCCAACTACCATCCCTGAATCACCATATTACTCAAATACGATCCTCTAACTATCATAATCCAACTACAATACTCCAACCACCATCAATTGATTATGATGTTACAACTAGCGTTGCCTAACTACAATTCTTTAATTATTGTTGTCCAACTATGATCCTCTTGCCACATGATTATGATCCGTCTACTACCATTGCTCAACTAATGTCCTTTGACCCCTATCACCCAAGTATGGTTCTCCAATCTCTGCTATATCACAAATACTTTTTGAACACTATCACCCGACTAGGGTCCTCTGATAACATTAATCAACCATAGTCCGACCATTATTACTTAATTACGATCCTCCAACCATCATCGTCTAACGACAATCCCCAACTAACGTCACTCTACTATGATCCTATAACCAACATCACCTAACCAAAATCTTCCAACTATCATCTATAAACTATGGTCCATTTGTAACAATCCAAAAATGAAAAGTACTTTAAATATGAATTTTTAAATTTCTATTAGAATTAGAGCGGTTATGCTTTTGAGCGTTGAAGCAAAAAAAAAAGTCACTACGATGTTTGAGTCTCTGTTATACAGTAATTCTGAAATATATATGCAACGCTACGGTGCTAGGTCACTAACATTATATTTTATTCTAAATCTAAGCATTAAAGTAACCCAGCATCGTCGCTTCCACCATGTTCGACTATGGCTTGCTCAGAAAGGAAAGGTAGAAGGGAGAGGAAAACGAGAGAGAAAGTTGATTTTTTGGTTATTTTTGTCCTTCACGTTTGCTATAAAAAGTCCTTTGATCATTGTAAGTAAATATCCTCCCACTTCTATTTTTGATGATTTTTAATTTCTATGGATTTTATCTCTCATAAATTTGTCAAAATTGCATATATCATGATTTCGTAAGATTTTACCATGTAGCTTTTGATATGTTATATATGTGATCATTCTGAACAATATGATAAGATTATATTGCATTTTCACTGATTAAATTCCCTCTATGTAAAATTTGTGGGGAAAAGTGTATTGAAAATGAAGTAATAAAAGATGTATTGTGATTGATGTGAATGAATATAAGCACAATAATGATTATTTATCTATATTGTTGACCTTTATAAAGGACAAAGTGCTATGAGATGGGAGACACCACTTAAACTCTTAGGGGTTGACTCTCAATCCTTATCTATCTCGCAGCTGATTTTGACACTAATAATGATTATTGATTAGAAGTCATAAGAGGTTGGAGACTTATTGAGAGTTACAGTAGTCAGGGCAACTGATTCTTATAATTCAAGTAGAGTTAAAAGGAGTATACTGATTGAGAGTCATAAGAGACAACTGATTGTGAGTAATAAGTGCATGAATAAGATACATTCAAGATACTCTCATATGAATATTTTATAGAATACTGATTACTAATATTAATTATTATTGATACATATTAGTGAAAACATATATTGATTTCTGTTATTACTTATCGTTACTAAATACGAATATTGATATTGTTGTATAACTAATAGACATGTGAGGATGATTGAATGATATGATTGAATGATACGATTATATGATAAAGTTAAAATAATTGATTGATACATGTGTCCTATACATATAGCCTATATATTAATTTATAATTTTTTTATATGATTTACAACATATTATTTCTCTTTTGCCATGTATTGAGTTTATTCATAAGATTTTAATTATTTGTTGGGATTTCATGCTCATTATGTTGTTTAAATAATTTCGGGTAAAATTAAAGAGCCCATAACTTGAGTCTAGGTAGCAATGTTAATTTAGTTCTCTTTTGATTTTTTTGGTTTATTTGCCTTCTTTTATAGCTTATGAAAGCTATTGTGTATATTATTTTTTTATCATGGAGACGAAATGTAAATATTGACTACAATAATAATGTGAATGATATTTTCATTGTTTATTTATTTCATGTAATGCTTATTTCATGTAGTACAATTAATCAGCTCTAGATATCAAATGGGTTTGATTATAAATGACTATTGGTTATTGAAAAATAAGAAATAAATAAATCAATGAAAAAAAAAAAAACTAAGACATGACACTATCAACCACTCTTGCTTTACTACTATCCTTTGACATCTATGACCCAACTAAGTATTTAACTAATAATTTAATTAGTTTTACGTAATTATTAATATTTTAAATTATATATCAATTAAGTTATCCAACAATAGCTTAGAGGAGTCTAGGCTTTGCCTTTCCCTCTCTGACAAATTATTAGGTGTGAATACTGGACAGAGAATCATCTGGATTTCGTAACTATACTTTTAATTTGTTTTTACTATAGGTGATCGGACCTAATTAATTTCCAGACAGGCAAATTATTGCATTAGGTCACCGGACGCGGAGAATAGGTTCAGACGTCCAATAAAAATTTGTCACGTCACCTGCGCTTTTGACTGCGCTTTTAACTTGCACTTTAGTTGCGCTTTGACTGCATTTTATCTACGTTTTATCTGTGCTTTACCTGCACTTTTCCTGGCCCTTTGATGCACTAAATTTAAAATAATATTTTAATAATATCCTGACCTATCTCCGTCCGGACCGGATGCAATAATTTTCCCCTTAGACGATGTTCCCTTGCTGTTGGAGCGGAAGTTACGACATTTTTTTATCGGAAGCAATCAAGCAACAACGGGAACTCGTTTGCTGTGGACAAATTATTGCATCCGGTCACCTAACAGAGAGATCCGTTCACTGTTGAGAGAGAGAACGGATCTCTCTGTCGGTCACCGGATGCAATAATTTGCCCTTCACGAACTTTTATTGGGTGCGAAGTGCGGACGTAGCTCTGTGTATGCAAACAAGTAGTTTTGCGCCACGTGGAGCCCACCTTGACCCCACCGTAATGAGGAGATCGTGTGCTCTGTTAACCCGATAACACGAACCATCCGAACTACTTCAAAAAATGCGCGGTAAAAGCTAGGGTTATATTTGCTGGCGCGGTTTTTTTACCTCATTTAAAACTTTTTTTCTCGTAAAACCTGAAACCATAGAAAGCACGAGAAGAGCGAAAGGTCTGAGGTTTCTTGGCGTAAGGTCTGAAGATGGATTCTGTGCCGGAAGAGATGAACGACTGGTCGGAGATGGAAGGTTTTACGCAAGAGTCAGAGCTTAGAGGTGGAGATGGTTTGCAACAGAATACCCAACCAAACTTTGATATATTATCGATAAATATGATATGAAAGCCGTGACTTGTTTAGTATTTTAAAAAATTTGTATTGGTGAGAATATATGTATTGGTGGGTTGGCGGTACTGTTTAGTACCTTTTTTAAATGTTCAGTACCGCTAGGTATCAGTAGGTATCGGTCGGTACTGGTAGGTACCGGTAGGTACAAAAGTTATTTTGAAAATTTGTGTGTGTTTCCAATATTAAACTCTTCTTGGTTTTTGTTCGTAGGTTGTTTGTAATAGTGAGAAAGAGGCTTATGATATTTACTATCGATACGCGCATAGTGTTGGTTTTAGTGTTCGCAAAGATCATCACTGTTACTGGCCTAATTCGCGTAAGATACGGATGAAAGATTTTTTATATTCGAAAGCTGGTTTTAAGAAGGGCCTTGACCTGAATGCCAAATCGAAATACAGGAAAGCCAATACTAGGACTGGGTGTCCCGCGATGATTAGATTTTCAGTTGATCAAGAAGGGGAATGCAAGGTTAATAAATGTATTGAGAACCACAACCATGAGTTGGCAAGGCCTGAAGATCAACATTTATTGAGATCATGCAGGAAAATTACCGAAGAGAGAGCATTTGTTCTTAAATCTATGGCTGATGCTGGGATTAGAACCATTGATGCATTCACATACTTAGCTGATGAAGTTGGTGGGAGGGAGTATGTTGGTTTTTTAAGAAGAGATGCATATAACTTTGTTCAGAGAAACAGAAGATGCAAGATTGAGACTGGGGATAAAAATTCCCTAATAGAAATTTTTAAAAACCGAGCAAAAAATGATAACATGTTTGTGTGGGAAGTCCAATATGATGAGGAGGATAGATTGATGAATTTTTTCTGGGCTGATGGTGTGGGTAGAATAGACTATGACTGCTTTGGAGATATTATAATTTTTGATACCAGCTATAGACTGAACAAATACAATCTAGCTTGTGCACCTTTTGTTGGAGTTAATAACCATTGGCAGAATGTTCTTTTGGGGGTTGCATTTCTGTCTGAAGAAACAGTAGAATCATTTACATGGCTGTTTAGAACATTCTTGAGAGTAATGGGTGGTAAACATCCCATTACAATTTTTACTGACCAGGATCAGGCAATGTCTCATGCAATACAAATTGCATTTCCGCAAACACGCCATAGGCTTTGCCAATGGCACATCATGAAGAAGCTACCATCCAAGGTGCATTGTTACAACAGCAACAACAAGGTTAGAGGGTTGATTTATAAATGTTTCAGCAAGTGTGATTCAGAGGAAGAGTTTGAAAGCACTTGGACTGAAATGCTGAATGAAGGGGACCTTCATAGCCATGAGTGGTTGAAAGAGCTCCACAAAATAAGGCACAAGTGGTCCACAACATACAACAAGACTTGTTTTAACCTTGGTATTCTTTCAACACAGCGCAGTGAATCCACTAACAATGTGTGCCACGGCATTTCTAAGCCTACTAGCACCATCACTGAGTGTTTTTTGGGACTAGAGAAGGTGATGAAGACATGGCGTCGGAATGAAAAGGATGAAGACTTCAAATGTAGTCAGTCTGATGTTGTCCCTTTAGTGAAGAGTAGTCCAATTCTAAGGCAGGCCGCGCGTTTTTATTCGCGTAAATTGTATTCTTTCTTTGAGGAGGAGTTTTTACAAGGTGTTGGTGGAATGTGCATAACTCAAGCCTCAACTGACTTATCCACTTTTTTTGTCAAAACTGTTGAGAACATTGATCAGCCTCGCCACTGGACAGTTAATTTTGATGATGCGGAAGGTAGCATCGAATGCAGCTGTGGAAAATTTGGTATGATGGGGATACTTTGTTCTCACTACTTGAGAGTGATAAGGCGGCTTGATATAATTAATATACCTCCGAAATATCTACTCAAGAGATGGTCAGGTCGAGCAAGAAAGGACCTTTACTCTAACAGGCCATTGTCATCTATGGTAGCTACCGGATGCCCCTCGGATGGCATAGGAAGTATGATTTTCAAAAATTATTTTACTAGATTTGCATATCAAATTAGCAGTAGAGGGGAAGGGAATACTGAAGCAGAACAGTACATGATTGATGCAATGTATGAGATTGTTGAGAATGTGGATCTAATTTTAAATGCCAGCAAGGACTCAAACTTAGATACGAATTCAAGCATGCGAACTAAAATAAAAGATCCTATAAAGCGCAGACCCAAAGGAGTCTCAAATGCAAGGTTGAAGAGTTATTGGGAAAAAAGAAAGCCGAAGAGGAAGAAAGCTGAGGAACAACCTACACCTTCAACTCATCAGCCTACACCAGTGGAACATAGTAGTCAAGTTTATTTTGCAAATATACCAGAATACTACGCTTCAACTCAACAGCCTACACCAGCGGAACCTAGTAGCCAAGTTTCTTTTGCAAACATTCCAGATTATTTTGCTTCAACTCATCAGCAAACACATGTGGAACGTTTTGGTCATGTTCCCTTTTTGAAAATACCGGAATGCTTCACCGATGAGTGGCTTCTTCGTCGACCTACCAGTCAGCCCAACCCTAAATATTTAAACATGATGAATGAATTTATTGATGCTGAAAGGCTTGGATGAATATTAAGAATTTCGGATTTGTTTTTATTTGATTTCTATCACTATTGTAATTGATATCTTATTGTAGAAACTTTGACGTTTTTTTATCGGTACCGATCTGCTAAGTATCTGTCGGTACCTCTCGGTACCGATAGGTACCGGTCGGTATCGGTAGGTACTTTTAAGTAGTGGTACCGATCGATACCTCGGATTAGCGAGCAGTACAATTTGCTGGTGCTTGAACTTAACGTTGTTGTTGTAGGTTGATATTTACTATGTTTGTTAAAATTAAATTGGGCAGTTGTACTGTTGAAGGTATTTAAGATGGATGGTTGTGGTATTAACTGTGGTAGTTGAAATTTAAAGATATATAAGTTTAAGAATTCCATGGTTTTTTTTAATAGTTCTATCATGATTTATAAACTTCGATGGCCGGATGCCAAACTTCATCTCGGCTTGTCGATCAAGGAATTTGTCGAGTTAGCCACAATTAGAATGCATTACTGCGTGGATGTTGCTGCAGAATGTGAACTTAAACAGCAAGCAAGACGGAATGAAATATCTAGATGCTGTGTTCATACATGGCATGATCGTTGTGATAGTTTGCTTAAAGTGGCATGGAGGGAGGAGATTGCTGATCAGGTCAGTTCTTAAATTCTACGGGTTGGAAAGCTGTCCAAAAGATTTTTTTTGCAAATTATCATCACCTACCAAGTGTTAATTTCCTGCAGCAGCGTTATTATGAGCTGACTTGTGAAGGAAAATCAACAACCTCTGATTATGTGGTCAGACGAGCTTCTGATGTTGAGAATGTAATTATTTATCACCCGTGGGATCCAGCTGAAGATAGGTTTTTAATTGATTTGTATCATCAATTAAAAAATGAACGTGTTTACGGTCGCAAAAGAAAGATGTTTTTGGATATCAAAGACTGACAAGATTTACAGTTTGAGTTACTGACAGAATTTGGATGTTGTCCTACACAAACGCAACTCCAACAACATGTTCGCTATCTAGTTAAGAAGTAAAACAACTAAAATGTACTGACATATTTACCAATTAAGAACGTTCTATCTATTTACATTTTATAACGAGCAAGACTATCGTTTCAACGTGGAACATAACAACATAAATGCAAGTTCAGCTCTAAACTTAGGCATTTCAGCTTGCAAGTTCATCAGTAAATCCCATTTAACATCGTTAGGTTGAATAACATTTTCCATATATTTGCAAACGAACATCCCACAGTCGAAACCGTTGATTTGTGTTGGAATTCCCTCAGCATCCAGAACTTTCCAATATCTGATATCAGTTTGAAAGCAGCCCTGAGTTTCGTCGTGTAAGTGATTAATCTGCAATCATAGTTAAGTAAAATTAACGTTAATTTCACAATACGAATGTGTACAGCACATTTAAAATGTACAGCACCCGACTAACCACTAGTGGAAGCACAGCCCGATGCATGGGGTTAGGTAACGAATCAAAAAAATACCAAGTTG